TATATGCTTAATTTCTTCTACCATTTTTACGCCTTGAGGATACTACCGTCCACCCGTCTTCAGTTGCAGTGGCAGCCATTGATTCATCCACCAACATCCCTCTTTGACCCACACTTGTTTGGTGTTCTGAAGAATCTACTTCCATATCTAAAGAATCATTTTCCAGCATACCATTCTCAACATCACCATCCACACCGTCATCATCTTCATCGTCTTCATTTATAACAAACTGTCTTTTATAAGTCTCAGCAGAATTCAGGGGCATTGTTCTCTTAAGATCAATAATGCATTCAAAGTTACCTTCTGCACACTGTGCGTGGATATTCATCAACTCTTCTGCTACCTCCTCAATGCTTCCATCTTCAAGCTCGGTATTGAAAGAAGAAATCATGACATCGTCTAGAATGTCCTCTAAATCATAGACGTATACCTTTTCTTTAGACTGGGTAAAAAAGGAGAAGATTCGCGCAGCAAGATCGTCGTACTTCTCTCGAGATGTGGGGCCGCCCCACTCCTGTTCGACGGCGATCCGTAGAGAAGCCCATCGAGCCAGAACCAGGGCGATCCCTTCTTGGAGCTGCGCTACTGCCTCCGCCGTTAGCGGCGGTGGAGGGTTATTTTCGGAATTCATTTTGTTGACAACTATGAACCCTAAATTGCTCTGTAGAGTGCAGACATCTTGCGCAATGGCAGCCAGGCTTAATACGAAGTACTTGACACCGACTTGGACAGTCAAAACAAATGCGAAGTATATTGGGTTGGTTATGGCCCGGCCCACTTTGAAGACCTGGCCTAGACCTGCGGTGGATATTATTTTCTGGAAAATAAAACTTCATTTGCGAACAAAACAAATGTTTTTTAAGAATAAAATCTTTTCTTTCAAAAAAAAGAATAAAATCTTTTTATGTCACTAAATAAGTGATCACCCTCTGTTTCGAAAAAATTGTGATAGGATGGATGTTTTTACTTGGATTGTAATTTGTCTCATACAAGATCAGACAAGACCAAACTTGGGTAGTAATAAAATTACAAAGAAATCAGACCAGACCAAACCAGATCAGCAAATTACAATCCAAGTAAAAGCATCCTATATTGTCATATATAGAGCCTCTTTGGTAACTCCGATTTTCACCTTATCAACCTTATCCGTCAACTTTATTACCAAACACATAGTTTTTTACTTTGCGCACTAGATTGAAAAATAACCAAATATGTGAGGTTGGAGTTTCTTTTATGACTGAAATTACTATCAATTTTTTCTGTTTTTTATTTTTTTCCTTAATTTTATTAACAAAATATATTTTAAATATAATTTATGCATAATTCAACATATTTAGCCAGTGCAGTCTTCAGTTAGAACTTCATAAATTTCAGAAGATTGATTGATTTCAATGTTATCAAACAGCCCCTTAAAGCTTGATATTCCAAAATATGGCATCAAAAGTTAAGGATGACATTAAGTTACTCCTATTTATATAGAGAAACATATTACGTAGTACTTTTTCAAAATTTTGCATTACTCTTGGTCTTGTTTGAGAAATGTTTCCCATTATCTAGTGTTGTTTTGTCTCATCTCTTTAAATCTATTCTAATCTACTTCGTATGAAAGTGGAGTATATTAATTCTAGTCCGGTAAAGATTAAAATGTAAGTAAACAAGTCCAATATACTTCGGATGAAAGTATACCAATTCGTCAGCACAAGTAGAACATCTCTAACGGATATGTCCATTGTACCTCCACATCATCAAATGCACGTTTTAATTACAAAGACATCTACTTACTTTTCTTGACGAAGCTTTTTTCATTTTTGTTTGATTCATTGTTTTTATTATTATTAATGTTGTTAATACTATCGTATTATTTTATTTGACTTTTAGTGTTTGCATTAGAGCGTTGTGTGAATGCTCCCATTCCATTTCGTAATATTAGGATGATAGGATCACATGAAACTAGACCTTGTTCAAAAATGCATCACTTCAGCTACAATAGACCTACTACGAATTGAACTCCTCTCCAGGGACTGGAAATTTCCAGTTGGAGAGAGTGTGAGATACATGAGAAGGTGGGTGGGGTAGGGAAAAATAAAAGGTGGGGTGAGGTTAGTGATTTGTAGGAGAGAGATAGAGTGAAAAAGAAATGGAGAGGGGAAATAAAGAGAAAGAAATGAAAAGGAGTATGACTCACCTACTAATGGTGAGGGCATGCCCTTAGAATTCATCTGTCTTTAGGACGTATGAAGTATTAAATTGTGACTTTTCTATTCATAAAAGGACTAGAGTCTCAATTTGTTATCAGCTATGCAGCACAAATACAAGAACGCGGATATGAGTATGGGGGTATTTTTATAAGTATTAAAACTATAGGGGTGTATTTCAAAATATTTAGGGAAAACAATCAAATAGGTCCTCGAACTTTCATAAAAAGGTCAATTAAGTCCTTCTATAGAAGGTTCTGTCCGACCGTCGCGATTTGGGGCAGTTCCCGGTGGAATTTTTTGATGAAATTTTTTGAGCATCTTATTCAGCAAGTCTAGTTTACTCATACCAAATTTAAGCTAAAAATTCAATCGGGAACACATTCAAATTAATTCTTGAAGATAACTGCGCATTTTTGCGTTCTCGAATTAATTTGAATGCGCTCCCGATTGAATTTTTAGCTGAAATTTGGTATGAGTAAACTAGACTTGATTAATAAGATGCTCAAAAAAATTCATTAAAAAATTCCACCGGGAACCGCCCCAAATCGCGACGACCAGACAGAGTCTCCTATAAAAGGACCTAATTGACTTTTTTATGAAAGTTCGAGGACCTATTTGAAAGTTTTCCCAAATATTAAAATTATGGGATTTGGGTGTGTTGATTTTCATCCAACATGATATAGTAAATATATGTATAAATGTGTATGAACAAGCTATTTTTACGTGGAAACCCGAAAGGGAGAAAACCACGAGACTTTTTAGGCTAATGTCCAAGCTTTCTCTTTCTCATTAGGACTCTCCTCACCATTACATAGTACAATATTCAAGCTCAAATTAATGGAGGATTGCAAGTTATTTTAGAGAGATAAGTAACTTGGAGAAGGAGCAAGATCCAAAAGAAGGTCCAAAAGTCCCTTTACATGGAGGGAAAACCTCCTATAAATAGGGCAAAGGGGGAGAGAGGCTTTCCACCCTAATGGGCTGAATGGGCCGAAATGGGCCCAAAGGCCGAAGTGTGTCTACTAGGCTGAAACGGGCCTGATGGGCCGAAATGGGCCTAGCCGCTCAGACTCCGAACGGATAATGTCTTGGGCTCCTGAACAGTAGTAGGTCGGGATAATATATCCCAACAGGTATTTATAAATGTTTAAGTAAATTGAAAGCCAGAACCCAATCTAAATCAATGTGCGTTATGAGATTATCTTCTTTTTGTATTTCACAAACTCATTGAAGTTGTTCAAAGATTATAAAGTAATGAAGATAACAGAGATTGCATAAAAATTATTGAGTAGATCAGTGAAATAGACTATCGGTTCTTCAATGACATTTTGCAATTCTCGAGCAAATTAAGGATGGGTTGATGAAAATATTAGTCAAGATCATGTGTGGGTTCTCTGAAAAAGTATTAAAAATCAAAGAAGGTGGACTTCTGTTTTATTTCTATTTTAGACGAATCGAAATCAACTTGGTCTCGTTTTGATCTTGAACCTAAAAATAGTGTCCCTATTTAGAGCCCGTTTGGTAGCACGAAAATCGGCTGTTTTGGCTGATTCTGCTGAAATTTATGAAGTTCTGGCTGAAGTGACTGTTTTGGTTGATTGTTCTAATTTAAGAAAAAGATATTTTTTAAATATATTTCATTAATAAAATAAAGAAAAAAGTATATGTATAAATAGCTAGTCTTCTACAGTAACTTCACCCAATACAGCCATAAAATAACTTCAACCTTACTTTTTCTGCTTATTACACAATTCAGTAGGCATGGACCCGGTTCGGGCCGCCCGGCCCGGGACCGGCCCGGCCCGCCACTGTGCGAGCCCGGAACCGGCCCGGTTCTCGGGTCCGGGTCCGGGTCGGGCCTAGGCCCGGTAGGGTGGCCGGGTCCGGGCTCGGGCCTTGAATTTGGCGAACCGGCCCGGCCGGGTCGGGCCCGGGCCCGGGCCGAATTGATTTTTTTTTAATTTTTTTTTCTATTTTTGGGGTTAGCCAAGTTGGGCTTGATGGTTAGGAGGGGTTTGGGGGGTTTGGGGGGGTGTGGGGGTGAGTGGGGGGGTTAGGAAAGCAAAAAAAAAAAAAAAATTATAACCGAACCGGAGGCCCGGCCCGGCCCGGCCCGGACCCGGACCGGACCCGGTGGCTACCCGGGCCGGTCCCGGGCCTTCCTTCCCAAAAAAAAGCCCGGCCGGGCCCGGCCCGGAACCGGCCCGGCCCGGGTCCATGACTACAATTCAGCGCGCGAAAGCAAAAGTTACATGTTTGGTAAAAAAGTTGGCTGATAAACCTGATAAGCCGAAAAAGAGTGTTAACGGATTCTTAATTTTGGAAAGGGTATTCAATCAGCTGTAATTTTTACCAAATCATACCGGTTGATTCTGCACTGTACTGGCCCGTCCTTATTTAGAATTTTAGATCATCATTTCCTTGACTATTCAATAATCCCATTCCTCTATATCCGTAAATTATCATTGCCTAATAAAAAAAGATGCAGTTTTGTTTGTCGGCTTTAGTACGATGGACAGTTAAGACTTCACAAGAACCACTTCTTGTAAAGCTGTCTGAAAAGTCAAAAGATGCACGAGAGGTAGAGGAATCCCATGCTCCTTTTTCTTAATGTGTTCTGTTGAGTTGCCATGCTGTGCACTCTTACTTTTTTACTTCAAGTTAAAAAATCATTGTACAGTCTGGGCGAATTTGAATCTGCTTCTTAAAACTGCTTCTGCTCATTCACGAAGCGGGAGCAGATATTGGAGTGTTTAGATGAAAGTGCAGAAGTACTTCTGGGTGCTCTAAATAACTCCTAGAAACAGTTTTTTAGAACTTCTGAAAAACTGATTATGTTTCTGATTATGCTTTCAAAGATAAGCAGAATAAGCATCAATGCAGCCTAAGAGAAGCCTTTCTGCTACCTCTAATACAAAGAGGCCAAAGCCTGGGGCAATTGCCATTCATTGTTCTACAACATCTACTCAAATGGCTTCAAGTTTTTATCTATTTATATATAGATCAGATTTACAATAAAGAAATGGTGATTCAAGTTATAAAATAAAAAAGATCTGCTGTGGCCATGCCAAAATGCTTGACCCTTCAAAATTTGTTAGACATTCGAGACAGGGTTTGACTGTATTATAATCCGAGCTCCTGAAGCAAGCCTGTTTGGAAGAAACAGGAAAATGATCTCAACCAACCAACATGAAGAGGAAAGCAGAAGAAAAACTCGGGCATTATTTAAATCTTAACTTTCTTCGATTTTGATCGCATTATCTGCCTCTCTTAAAGGCTCTGTGATTCTCTTACTTGCACCTCTTGATCTGCTATCAGTAGGTGTAATTGCACCACCAGATGACATTCTTGGACCCTCCGAAAGTGGAGACCTCATTGATTCACTTCTCGGATGTTTACTAATTGAAGCCATGATTGATAGCGGGATGCACTTTAATCCTGTTGAGCATGCATCCTCTTTGTCTTCAACTAAATCAACCTGACTATTTGTCCTGCATTTCAACATCTACATCGTTCAATTAAATGTGCGGATGTGCCCCACCAAACAGATTATGTGAAAAATTCATATTTTTCACAATAAGATGATGTTCCACTTTTGTCGATGACTTCCCCTTTTCATTTTTGGCTCACGACTATGGATTTCTTGTCACTTTTGATCCTTTCTGTTCACTTTCCCCAGGGATAACCAACCAGAAATTTGCAGGATAAGCAGTTAAGAGGACAAAACGATGAAAGAATGCACACGTGCACCAAAATTGAAAAAATGAAAGCTAGCGACCAAAAGTAAGAACCTAATAGTAGAGGGATCGAAAATATATACTCCGTATTTTATATATCAAGGAGTGTATATTTTTGGTATAAAACTGAGTTTAGTCTTACTCGGACTATTACTCAAAGCCTCATCTCTTCGAAGTGAAGTAAAACCCATATACTACTCCCTCCGCCCAAAAAAACATGTCTCCAAAGACTTTTTTGTGCCTTTTTTAATTGAAACTGATTTTTGAAGAAAATTGCCAAAATGTTACAAACGGCTACAATATTTAAATTTTAATTCAACAAAAAAAAAGAATATTTAACATATAAATGAATCCATGGCTTTCAAGGGTTGTACCTTTACCAAAAAAGAATCTGGTGGGGGAGTAAATATCTTACTGACCTGTCAGCATTAAATGATGATGACCTTCTAAGAACAGCTACTCCTTTGGGCACAGTTGTCTCAATCAAACTCCCGCTGAAATATTCCTTATCTTCCAATCTCACTCCCATAAATCTAGGATTATCAGCAAGACAATCAAGATCTCCCAGGGTTAATGAGGTTGTTGAATATAGTGGGGATGGAAACTTTGAATGTGAAAATCTTGGCTTGTACACAGGGTTAATGCCAAAAGTGTGATCCTTCACCGCAATGGACCCGCATGAGATTAATTGCATCAACATATTTGAAGGCTTAATTTTTGTTGTGGGAACCCGAAATTCTTCATCTTCAAGAACTCTAAAGCTGTTGAGCTTACCTACATCAGATCTAAGGAGAGATTCTAAGGTATCAGTTCGACCACCTGAAGATACACTGGACGAAGGAGGTGGGGAGATGGATTCTTTGCAAATCTCAGATGATTCTTTTATGCCATTGCTCCCATTCTTTTTGGGACCATTTGGAACTCGAAAAATGCTAGGGGAAGAATAAAGCAGGGAAATATATAAGAAAACATGGGAAAGAATGAAAACATGAGGATAAGCATTGGCTAACACTTAACAAATACAGAGCATATTGTTGATACTCTATTAGTTTAAACATGATTTAATAATTTATGAAAATATTCTACTTTGATCCAACAACTATTAGGTGATTCAATCGTTTTTGCTATTGAGCCTCGACTTTGATTTTTCTACTTCTGGCACACATCTACTAGTTACTTATCCGCCCACTTTCCATACAAGTTTTGGTTGATTACTTACAGGAAAAGTCGTATCATAACAAGGGAAAAAAGTCATGCCAAAAAAGGAAAATGAACAGATAATCAAGGTACCAAAAGAATGACCGAAATTGGATAGGAATATACAGTAGTGCACTAACAAAAACCAAGTAATAAGTCAAAAAAACAAAAGTAACAATGAGCTAATGGTTGTGGGATTAAAAATGAAAAAAAAAATATTAATTTATATCATATAAAGAGAAATTAAAACATATGTACAAAAATTAACACATCATTCACATTTCATTATGCTTTAAATCTTACAGTAGGACCAAACATACCCTTCAGGCTCAGAAAACCCCTCATCTGTACAAACGCCTCTAGTACAGGTCTCCCGAACGCTATTGTTTCTGCTTGGGTTTCCTTCAGTCTGTGTGGAAGCATCAGCCAAGCCAGAGTCATTCTTGTACTCTGTCATACTTAAGGAACCATTCGAAGAGGAATTTTTAGACACAGGTGATACTGCTGATGAATTGGGATGTTCAACTGAGGGAGAAAGTTCATCTTCCTGTAAAGGTTTTGATCCTCTTCCGTTCATGCTGGAAGATGATGACGAACCATCATGACTTCTAGCAGATGGAGGTTCGGGTAGGAGTTTTGGGTTTTGAAATCTTACATTTCTAGACGGGCTGAAATTCCCTGACATAAGAAATTATATTTTATTAACATCACTGAATCCATGATCATGTACAATGATACAATTTACCAGAAAGATGATGGAAATCAAGGTTCGATGCATCGCCAATCTTCAACAAAATAAACAATTTCCTAGTAACTAAGGATCTGTTTGGACATACAGTTTTGAAGGGCTTTGGAGAAGAAGACTAAGGAGGGCTTAGTTCATATGTAGTGTGTCTCTAAAAAGGAAGATAAAGTGATTAAAATGTTATAAGATGGCATAATATCTTAGTCTCCATTCTCAAAACTATATTGAGATATAGATTATAGAATAACCCCTCCAAAGCCTTCCCTACGACACCCCCTCCCAAACCAAGAGTGTAAGGAATTCATTAGAATGGGTTTGTTAGTACTCCCTATGTCAGTTTGTCCCAAATATATTTCCCGGTCTACAAAAGTGGGCACATGTAAATAAAGATAATAAGAATGAGCGAAAAAGGCATTGGATTCTTGAAAACACAATTAATTTGGGACAATAGAAAATTGGTTAAAAATAATAATTGGGATGGAGGGAGTGACAACTAAATCAATATTCCAAATTCAATAATCAAAGGTGCAAGGTATAGCAGTTATGTATATATATATATATACCTAAAGTTGAATCTTCCATGAGTTCTGAACCCTTGAGAACATATTCATTGCCATGAGCAGGAAGTATGAGGTCGTCTTCAGAAAGATCATGCCAAACAAAACCATTCTTATAGCTCCTGCATTTGATATCCATTAACCTAAATTAACCAACAAAATACACACACACACACACACAGAAAGAAAGAAGAAAACTAAACAATTGGACTATTTACCTCTTGCAAGACCAAGAGTACAATGAAGCCATGCCTCTGCCTCTCAAAACATTAAGCCGGTCAATTACATCTTCACCACATGAAAAAAATTATATTAAAAAACAGAATTTCAGCATTTGAAGGTTAGAAAGAATTTGGTGGACTAAAAACAACAAAATGTGGGTAAAAGAAGAAAGAATACCTCTCAAATAGAGTTGGCCATCAGGGGAAGATGGTGAGACTTCAATGAAATGAGGATGCTCGAGCTGTCTATTTCTACACAGATAATACACAACAGCAACTCTTGCACCCTTACTATTACCACTTTGTGGTTCACTCTGCGGCAGCGGCTGCTGTTTCTGCCTATACTTCGGAGATTTCTCAGTCCAAACTATGGCCCTTTCCGGGCTCAAAGGCCTGTACTTTTTTATCCTCCCTTCCATCCCAAACCCTAACTACGAACCACTAAATCAAACCCTCCTCCGCTCCGATCTTCTCAGAAGAACACTTCAACACTCAATTCACATAAATTCCGAATCATTTGCTGCGAAAGGTATGGTGGATCTAGAACATACTCAAACAAAACCGCGAAATCCACTTCTGGGTCTGCAAAAAAAACGCCAACTTTCATATTAGGAGCGACAAACAAAGGATTTCCGCAAAAGGGTTGAAATCAAAAAGAGAGAAAAGGAGGCAGCTTTATTGCAATTTCTTGACAGTGAGTTTTTAGTGAAGAACCAAAAAAATATTAACTGTCTGGCCTACAAGTAGGCAACAAGTTCGGTGTGTATTGATACCCATAACTCCTAACATATACAGAAAGAAGTATACAGAGAAATATATGTAGATAGATAGATATATATGGAGAGAGAGAGAGACTGACCTGGCGGGTAACATGGGAGACCCACAGTCGATACAATGCCTCAGAAAAACGGTGGGGAACGGCAAGAAGAAGAAGAAAAGGGGTGGTGGTGGGAAACTGTGAGCTAATGTAAACGACAGAATGGAGAGGAAACGAGAAAGGAGGGTGACTAATAAGATTCGCAGAGACTTTTCTTCACGAATTGAGTTGTGGGGTTTCTCGATTTTAAGCTTCCATTTTCTTTTCTCTCTTTTCGATTGATTTATTGATGTCTGAAGTACTCCGTAATTCGTATCATCGTATGGGAAGCAAGGGCATTGCGTCTTTAACCTTTTGGCAGATTCGATGGCTTTGGGGTAGTGATTTGACTTCTCAGTGTCATCACTCTCCTCTCTCACTCTCCTTTGTTCACTTCTTGTGTCCCTTTCAATTTCTCTTTTGAGAAAAGCTTCTTCTACATCTCGCTTTGCCTTAATAAGAGCTGGCGAGACATTAATTAAAAGAGGTGTATCAACAGTTTTCATTTGGTATTGTCTAACTTTTTGTTTTGGTTTTATGAATATGAGTTGAATCCTTCTGAACGCAGTTGGAAAGGTGGATGTACCTCTTATCCTATACGGAGTATTGGTCTAATATTTTCATGTCCACCAGTTACCCATTTCTCATTGTGAAAAGGATTTTCATATTTACATCCATTGACATAGATATATTATTCTCATACCCACCCCACTCAACCACCACATGTACAACTAACTACTTACCGAACTCCTCTATACCAGCCCACTAGTGGATAAGTGATGTGAAGACATAATCTTTCAAAAGTTTACAAAATGTACAATAGTGGTAGACATTGTGCAAATGAGGTCACTGTTTTTTTTCTTCCCAAACTAAGAGTCCGTTTGGAGAACTCTGTTTTCGGCTTATCAGGCTTATCAGCCAGCTTTTTCACCAAACACGTAACTTTTACTTTCGCGCGCTGAATTGTGTAATAAGCCGAAAAAGTAAGGTTGGAGTTACTTTTCTGGCTGTATTGGGCTGAAGTTACTATAGAGGACCATTTTAGCTATTTTTACATATAATTTTTTCTTTAATTTATTAATAAAATATATTTTTAAAATATTTTTTTCTTAAATCAGCAGAATCAGCCAAAACAGCCACTCCAGCCAGAATATCATAAATTTCAGCAGAATCAGCCAAAACAGCCGATTTTGGTGCTACCAAACAGGCTCTAAGATTTATTCACTTCCAATTATAAAAAAAAAATATGCTTTTAATTATAAAATCATTATTCATATTTATGATTTACCTATGTTTTAGTTATATCTCGAGTAATTTCTTTAGAAACTTCTAGGAAAGTAAATTGAATTAATACTTAGAAGTACCGAGTTACACTTTCGTAATTGTAATATACTTGTATGTAATACAGAGTAGTACTGAGTTACACTTTCGTAATTGCGTTTTTATATGTATATTTTGACGCATCCAACTTCAAAAAATTATTTGAATGTCTTCCCGATCGAATGTTGAGCTGAAATTTGGTATGGATAAACTAGACTTGATGAAGAACATGCTCAAAAAATTTCATCAAAAAATTCGATCGGAAAGTGCCCGAAATGCCCTCGGCCGGACGGCGGTTCCCGTCAGGCCGGCTGAACAAGAACGGGACTATATATATATATATATATATATATATATATATATATATAATGCAGTACATACTACGCAATATGTATATACACACACTACGTAATCAATATTACCTGACTCTATAAATTAAATATCATCCTAGATATGTGTATTTACTTAATTAGAGCAAATGTTTTGACACACACGTACATAGCTACATTTTGTTTTCCCATATAACGTGTGAGATATTATTTATTTGATCGATAACATATAATGACCAATTACAGAATAGTTTAAATTTGAATCTAAGAAGTTTGAAAACATTTCAATGTGTGGAAAGATGTTTTGACGAAAAATAGATGGAATGTGCCCGCCTTTTCATTTCAATGTGTCAAAAAAGGAACACAGTGTTTGGTTGGAGTAAAGGTCAATTGCTAATTCTTTGGATAGATCACTTGTAATCCAAAATATAAGGAGTTCAAAATGTTAATTAAAATGGACATTCTGGACATCTACGTTGTTAAATTAGGGTTACAATTGGGTGCTAAAAATGCAAAGGAGATAGAGAGGAGCTAAAAATAGAGGGAATGCTCATAACCCAAAAGTAAGAAAATGTGGGCCGAATGCCTTTGTTAGTTAGGGTCCCAGTTACGGGAAAAAATTTTTTTAAACTATATGTTATAAGGATTTTATTTGTACGAGGTTCCAGTTGTTGGAGTTTTTAGGCCAAACGACACGAAACACTTATTTTTAATCCATTGCACCTCCACAAATAATCGAACTTTACTTGAAGCCATTTTATTTTTTATTGACCGACAAAGTGAAAAAATAAATATCATCGAAATGTGTATTTTTTATTTCATAAATATCCAGAAACAATCAAATAAAAACATTACTTATAAACTTATATGAATAAAATATATGGTAAATGAATTTTATCGAGAATGTTGTGTATTAAACTATTGATTAATCCTTACGTTAGTTTCCAATATAAATGAAGTTCGTGTTTAATTGTATTGGACATGTGCAAACTTTACACAACTTGCAGCCAGTCATATTTCTAAATTCTAACCTCATGCGGCCACATCCACCAATAGCTCAATAATTATTATGATTACCAAAGTTTTTTTTGAAGTAATTAGTAATGACCCATGATTAATTAGAATGAAATACTGATTAAATATGAATTGTCGTAATGATAATTCTAAAATCTCGATTACACTCAATTTTACACTAATTATAATGATGGAATCATGACAATGACTGCATGATTTAATATATGTTGAATTAAGCTGCTTGAATAGGGGTAAAATTGGGCCGGGTTTAATAGGATTTTGATTAGGATGAATCAGAAATTTCTAGGCTCAACGTTTTCACGGTTTTCTGAGTTCGAGTTGGATTTCATACATACTTGGGTTAAGCCCCACAAAATTTATAAATTTTGGAATCATATTTTCTATTATGTTGAATGTTTTTGAAATAAAATATACTCGTATTGAAAAACACTAAACAAAATCTATAGTAAATATCAAATTTATTAATAGTCATTTCAAATATTTGAGCCTATTCACAAAAAAACATTCATTCACATCAAATATATATTAACCTATATTTCTTAAAAGTTGCAACACTTTACTTTTTTAGCAGTTTCAAATAATTGCAACATTACTTTTTTTTGGAAAATATAATTTTGTACAAAGACTTTAACATCCTTCCTCCAAATTAATTCCTACATCCACCCTCTTCACAATAATATTCTTCTCTCTCTCTCTCTCTCACACACAGTCACTCACGTCCATTTGCACGCACCAAAGCCCCCCCCCCCCCCCCCCCTCAATTTCCTCACCCACCACCTCCATCTTTCTCTTATCTTTACATTTCTCTTAGGAGTTTCCCCAACACTGATTTTAAATTATTTTTCCCCAACGCACATTTCATAAAATCATATGCATTTCAATAGATTTTGGGGAAAAGCATTTTCCCGCTATACGGACACTAGAGATAAAAATGGGCTGAAATCATTAAGGCTCTCTTCGTGTTTTCTTTCTCCAGATTGGCAAATTCCAAATGAGTAAAGTGTCACTGTGATTACAAGTCGATGATTAAAACATTTACAAGGTTGTGAGCATTCATTGTGATTTCAGCCAAAAAGGTTGTGAGCTTTTAGGAATTCTTAGAGCATCTCCAATGGTAGAATGTGCACGGTGCACATGTGGCATGAGAGATGACCACATAAATATTGGTAAATAAATTCTTTCTCTCCTTATTTGAATGATTTTATACAGTTTTGGTAAGTTTTTTCTCCACAATGTCAAGGAGATCGTCTAGATGTTGACATTGTCGTTGACATTGCAGGGAAAAACATACCAAAATTGTATAAAATCATTCAAATAAGGAGATAGAGAATTTATTTGTTAATATTTATGTGGCTATTTCTCATGCCACACGTGCACCGTGCACATTCTACCATTGGAGATGCTCTTAGGAATACCAGTGACCCATTGCATTTACAAGTCGTTGACTTGTACTCACACCGATATGACTATGACTGAAATCATTTGTATTCGTATACCTGAGTATTTGATCAAAGACGGAAGATGGAAGAAAAGGTCGATGACAGTCTAGTAGGATGAGTGCCGTAGGGTTTTTTAAACAATGGATTTGAAAGTTGAGGGGTGCTGGCCTTGTTGGTGGATTGAGTTATTCAACTTTTTGAGTTAAAAAACCATCCAAGTCTTTCAAAATCCATTCAAACAAATAATGGGCTCGCTTGATAGTTTACACATTAAAACTTTGCATGCAAAATGATTGCATGTAAAGTTTAGGGCGGTAAATGATTTACATGTAAAAATGAAAATACATCGGTTGGCTATCTGTGCAATCTATTTTTAAATTACACACAAATTCTTTACAATGAAAAATAGCCCGTGCGAGTGAAAGCACAATTTTGTGACCATGACACCATTCTCCACCGATTGGTTGACCATCTTCATTGCAAATTACAGAGGAGCTCACAGGATGATATATCAACAACATATACTCCGTATTTTGTATTAATGGTATTGCAGGCTTATTGGCGGAAAATTGGCCAATTTATTAACTCACGGGAAAGTGTGGATCACAACTTTATTATATGTACAATAATTCATTTTCCGTCACGGATTCAATTTCTTTTAGGAATGGAGTCTTCAAAGTTATCAGACAAATCAGTACTTCAATGTTTAGCCGCCACCTAGGTTAGAAAACGTAGGTTAGAGATCGTAAATCAATGTTCCTTATATTTACTCTCCCTCGTATGAACGAATGTAGTGCAGTTTACCATCCTCCCCCTAGGTAAAATATTTTACACGGTACAGTGTAAAATGATCGTTAAAAAGTGTCACACAGTTTACATTAAGTAGTTAAAACAAACGGTGTAAAATGACTACATCTCTACACTTTACCTGCAAAGTGTTTACTTTACACCGTAACAAACGGGCCCAATAATTTAAATCCATGGAACGTTTGAGATTTGAGAACACTTGAATTGTAATAGATTCATGAAAATCTAAATTGAGGCTACCCAGATTTTGATGGAATTCTAAACTCCATTAAAATCCATGTTGTAGACACCCCACTTCGATTTCATTTTTTAAATTTAGATCTAGATTTCCCCCTTTTCCATATCTTCAATTCGAAATCTCTTTCTCCTATCTTCAATTCCAAATCCCTCTTGACCGGCGAAATTGATATAAACGGTGTCGATTTGTCTGCTCGCTTCTGCTACTTTGTAGCCTTTGTACCAGTGAACAAACAAATCTGGTGGTTTATGATGCCCCTCCTCATATTCTTGCAGCAAGAGAAGTGGACAGGTCCAGAACCATGCGAAGAAGAAAACTAGATTTGGAGATAAAAAAGATAGAGAAGAAGAAGACAGATCAGACATAGTTACCATACTTTTTTCATGAGACTTACAAGATGATATTCTTCAAGATATTATGGCCAAGGATGCTTTTTACTTGGACTGACTTTTGCTTGGTCTGGTCTGGTCTGATCTGATCTGAACTGGTCTGGTCTGGTAATGGTTGGTCCTTGTGTATATTTATAACTATCCAAGTCTAGTCTGGTCTGGGACTGAAAACAGTCCAAGTAAAAACA